ATTCAGATGTAATAGTTTAAAATATGTGTAAGCTGCCGGTTTGAGCTACTGGCGGGTTGCTGGCGTGCGCGCTCGACCTGCAGTATGGCGGGAATGAGGCCTCTGCAAGTGGCACATTAAGCTACATTGTGGATTTAGCCTTTGCTAGTACAAAACAAAAAAAGAGGTTTCTGGGCTACACGCTGCTTGTATAAAAGCATAGACCCACGATAGCTCCCAGAGCTGGTGGTAAAGTACCACGCCATGTTGGGAAGCTGAGGTGGGCGGAGCCAACAGCCACAGCTGCTGCAGCTTAAAGCAATAGATTCACAATAAGACAGATTCAGATGTAATAGTTTAAAATATGTGTAAAATATACGTAGGCTTGAAAGAGACAAAAAAAGGTGATATATACAGTATAAAAACAAATACATGGTTTTAAAAAATAAAGTCTTTAAAGAGACAGTAAAATTAATATAAAAAATAAGCCACGTAGAGATGACTATTACACAGAGAGTCTAGATTGTGTTGTCTTTGGGATTCTTAACTACAGAGAGATATTTGATTGTAAAGGAAGCTGAGTTAAACCAGTATGTATATTTTAAAGATACTTTGACTTCAAAATTTGGATGTAAGGATATGTTGCTTTGGAAAAGAGTCTCTTTTGTTTCCACAGAAAACAAGAGGCTATGGATTTGTTCCAGAGTAAGATACATCAGGTTTGACCAGCCAAGACCCCCTGAAAGGTCTCCGATGACACCATGGCCCAGATGATCCAACATCCAGAACCGTTTCAAGACAACTGGCTCAGATGATACAGCCTCACGGACTACTCCATGATCCTAAAATTTTCTTTGTTTCCCCAGAAGATACAGCGCCCCCCTCCAGCAGGAAGTAGTAAGAGAAGCTACGCCCAAATTCCCAAATATACCAAGCTGACTTTGGAGATGTGTAAAGGTTAAAACCTTCCTTTTTAAGAAAAGAAAAGGGGAGGTGCTGTGGGATGGTCTGTATGTCAAATGTGTTGCTGATTGGTCAATGAATAAATCACTGATTGGCAGTGGCCAGGCAGGAAGTATAGGCGGGACTAACAGAGAGGAAAATTGAGAGAACAGGAAGCTGGAGAGGGAGACACTGCCAGCCGCCATCAGGATAAGGAAGATGTAAAGTACTGGTAAGCCACAAGCCACGTGGCAAGGTATAGATTAATAGAAATGGATTAATTTAAGCTGTAAGAACAGTTAGCAAGAAGCCTGCCACGGCCATACAGTTTGAAACCAATATATAAGTCTCTGTGTTTATTTGATCGGGTTTAAGCGGCTTGGGACTGGCGGGTGAGAGAGATTTGTCCTGACTGTGGGCCAGGCAGGAAAACTCTAACAACAAATGATAAAAATCATAATAAAAATAAACTTTCCTTACGTTAGCTGTTTGAATTATGTTCCTATGGCTAGACTCGTCAAATCAGGGACACCTGCTCATTTCTGTGTCCTCAGCACAAGGGCACGATATGAGGGCCTCAGAAATTGTGAGTAAATAATAATAGTAAATCCTTTACATTTGTACAGTGCTTCAAAGTTTGAAAAGGTCCCCAAGACTTCATGCCTTCCCCTAACAATGGGACACGGGGCACAGACCCATACAGGCTCCTTGGGCTGTGCAGGCTTGTGGACACTGAAAGGCCCCAGGGACAGTTTAACAGCCTCTGTTGATAGTGGTACAGGATGGGCACCTTTTCACTAAATGGTGCTATTGGGGATTTCCAGAGGGGAAGACTGCCACATCTAACCTTAGCTACTGCTAGGTCCATTCCTGTTCAGAGCAGGGATATAGTCAAAAGCCTGGGGAGGAAGTGTGATGGAAAGATGATGAAGGGCATAAATACTCCCCCAAAACACTAATGGTCCCTTGCGAGGAGAAACAGTATAGAAATGTCACTCAAAGGTCTTGTCATTAACTACCCTTCTTAACTGTCAGGATCTCTCTCTCTCTCTCTCTCTCTCTCTCTCTCTCTCTCTCTCTCTCTCTCTCTCTCTCTCCTTCCCTCCCCCACCTCTCTCTCCCTCTTTCTCATTATATAGACTAGGCTGGCCTCACAGAGATCTACCTGCCTTTCCTAGTCAGAAATACACAGTTTTGCATCTTTTAATCAATTAAAAAACCAACAACAACAACAACAACAAAAAAGTCTACTGTCTTTAATTGCACATAGTTTTAAAGCAATGCTTAATTCCTCTTTGGAAAGCAGGAAAATTATAATTATACAACTATGAATGTTTTGAAAGCAGGAACTAGTCAATAGAAGTAAAAAAAAAAAAAAAAACAAATTCTAGACTGGTAGTAAAGCCTAGTATAGAGTATGCGTTTAGCATGTGCAAGATCCTGAATTCAATCCCCAGCTCCCCAGTGCCATGTGAGCATACACACACACACACACACACACAGAGAGAGAGAGAGAGAGAGAGAGAGAGAGAGAGAGAGAGAGAGAGAGAGAAAGAGGGAGAGACAGACAGAGACAGAGAGAGACAGAGAGACAGACACACAGACAGACACATGTGCATACATACACAGAGACAGTGAGACACACACATACACAGAGATAGAGAGACAGAGAGAGATACACAAGCAGAGAGACAGAGACAGACAGACAGATACAGAGATCACAACTCAAACTAAAAACTCCAAGTCCCCAGATCAGAAAGACACTGCCACCATCATGCTTCTGCTTCCTTCCAGGGTGTCCCCTGAAGTCTGTGGGTGCCACTGCTCTACAAGGTGAGAAACGATGATTTTATCATTCTCCCCACAAGAAATTCACACTAGAGAAGAGCCATCTTTGTGGGAAGGACTAACGTTTGAAGCAGGTATGGAAAGGGTGCAGGGAAGGAACATCTCCCTACCTCCAGAGGTACCAACAATGAAAACGGGGGAACGGGTGGTATGGCTGAGGGACAGGAAGGCATTCAACTTCATGTGCTAAAGTCTTGAGAGGCAAAAAGCAAATTCATGCATTAATAATGCTTTTTATTTGTAAAGAAAACTTTGCATCTTAACCAACTTTTTAAAAAGCCATAGAACACTATTGTGTTGTGCATGTATAGGATGGCAGGCCAGGGAAATCTTGAAGTCTTTTGTCTTTCTGACTACACTCTTCCTGTGTGGAGCAGCCATCCACTCTTGGGAAAGTGGTAGCGTTTCCAAGGCTGGGTGGTTACATTAGGGGCTCAGCTACTTCTGCGCTCTTGCGGTCTGGTGAAACATACAGACCCCTCTGGTAGTACGAAAAGTGTAGTGTGTATAATTTTCTTTAAAAAAAGCACATAGGGTCACAAGGTACACAATCCATTTTTTAAAATATTAAAATAAGCATTTCTGTGAACATGATGTAGTGGCAGGTTTAACGTCTGCCACGGTTTTTAGAAGAATAAAGAGAAGAATTGGTCTTAGCAACATTTGTCATAACCATGACAGTGTGACTGAAGAATACCTGTGACCACTGTTAGTGAAAAGACCCACATACTGCCTCTACTGTAGTCTACAGCCTTTGTTCCTGTCTGAAGAGAAAGTGAAATCCACTTAGAGACTAGTGAAATGGCTATAATTTTATTTCTCAGATCCCTCCTCTGACTCACAAAGAATTCAGGCTATGAAGCCTGACTAGTGGCGTCCTCTCCCTGGTCCTCCCTTACGGATCTGATGAGGTTAAACTGTGGCTGCTGGGGGAAAGTGGATAGTATCCGTCAAATACTCCACACATACTCACATGTAAGCCTTGTAGTTGTTGCCAATCTTCTGAACCCGGATGTCATACTTGGCGTCAATGAAAGGTTCTGCTGTGGCATAGGTTTGGGTGAGGGCCACCACACTAGCAATGTCCTGGAAGTCGTAGTGATTTTCCACTTTGACCTAATGTTGATGTAAGACAGACAGGAAGGGGGACATGTGCATACACACACTGAGAAGTCACAAGGGCCTAGAGCCTCCAAGCCAATCACACAGTTTCTGACACTGGTAAACATGAGCATCCCATCTTCCCAGCAGTTCCTTTTCTCTAGTCCCTTCCCAGAGCCAGGGTCACACTAAGGGGCCAGCTGGGTTGGTTATACTCTTCATTGTATGACTGGGCAAAATCTATGGCCTCTAAGGGACCTGGTCAGGTCCTTGGGAGAAATCCACTGACATAGGAAGAAGAATAGTCTTCAAATGGGCTTGCTGAAAAAAAAAAAGCCCCCTTTGACTCAACCCAGACCACCAGCCATCCTGCCTTACCTTGCCCATGCCTGAGTGAGCATGACCAATCTTCACCACCACAGGGAATGTAGGCAGTGTAAGCTGAGAGGAAAAAAAGGAAGAAATGGACTGGTCAGTAGGTCTTTTCTCTTTGGAATCCGAAAATATTTTCCTTGGGAAGACCCTTGGTAGCATCCCTTAAAGAATCAGTGTAGGGGCTGGAGACAGTTGAGTGATTAAGATGGCTTCCTGCTCTTGCAGAGGACCAGGGCTCAATTCTCAACACCCACACCGGGTGTCTCAGAACCATCTGTAATTCCAGTTCCAGGGCTTCTGACACCTTCTGGCCTCTGCAGACTCCTGCATGCACATGGTGCACATAAACTCATACAGGCACACATACATCCACGGAAATAAACAAATGAAACTTTGGTGAATATTATCAAAATACATTGCATGAAGTTCTTGAATGATTAATAAAAACATTAAACTAAAATAATTAGTGCACCCTACTTGTTTTACACATGGAACCCATAAAATGACAGCAAATTTCCCAAAGTCACACAGTAGGCTAGAGGCAGACTATATGTACCCTGTGTTCTCCTACCTGATGTTTTCTACAACCCACGACTTCAATTTTCTCTACATTAGACAACCCTGGCAGAACTTCCTGTCAGCTAAGGAGAATTTTTTTTTTTAAATTCATGAGAGAGTAAATTTTGCTGTCTGTAAATTATACTGCAACAAACCAGAAACATTTGGAATGCATTTGGAACACCGTGATGTCCACTGAATCATGCACCTCTGCCCACTTCTTCCCATCAAGTGCCATCTTTCCTCTGCGGATCCTGTCACAGGCTTAGTATGCTGAAGCTATTTCTATCCGGTCAGGATTCAGAAGAGAGATGACATAAGAATTCAGCATGTTTATCCTTGGAAGACATCTTAACAAAGTAAACTCTTCCTTGAAGTAGCCTTGTTTTAACAGAGGAGGAGGAATCAGATTTAAAGGAAGAAGGACCCTCCAAAGGCAGGGTTTTGAGCTGCTTTAACAAAATGCGGGCAGAAATAGTAACACAATGGAGTAGGGAAAGCAGCAGACACCACACTGGCAGGCGAAGATTCTAGTTCTCACGGCACCAAACCGGTTTCTCAGTCTTCACATCTGTCAAGTGACAAGGTTGGGTGGATGCTTTAAAGACCCCCCCACCTCCCAAGTGACAACTCTATCTTAGTCTGAGCATTGTGTGAAGAACCACTCTAGACACCAGCCTGGACCTCCCACCTGCCTCCGCCTGACTTCATTCTCTCCCAATTCCCTTCTTTTCAAATATCACCACGGCCATCTCACTGGTGTCTTCTGATGGGAATAGCTCTCAATAGTAGGGAAAAGTCAGATTTTTGTAATGAAAACTCAAGAGTCTCGTGGAGTGTAGCTGTGATCAGAAATGTAGGTTTGGGGCTCTGGACTGCAAATTGAAGAAAGGGAGGAATCATGTAGTTAAGTCCTATTTTATGAAGAAAATAGTTGGGGCCCAGAGAGGCAAAGATCAGAAAACGACCCAGTGGCAGTCAGAATCAGGACCCAGCCTCCAGCTCTCCCTGAGGCAGTCATTCCACGAGTTTCTTTTCATTCAGATTCTTGGAGCACTTTGCTGACAAACTGTGGACAAGGCTTGGGTCACAATGACCGGAGTGCCTGGCTTGTTTGCTAAGTGGCTCCACCTTCTGCAACATGGCGGTCTCCAGGGGGCAATGATGTGCAGTAGGAGCTTTGAGGTCCAAAGTTTGCCCTGACCGACAGGACACCTTGTGTTTTAAGCTTCATGGAAAGAACTGCCCTCAACTCTCTGCAGTCTAAGGCTCTGGCTGTGAGAAAGGGTTTGAAAGCACTGGCTACTTTGTCTGACATCCTTCCCCACCCCCCAGCTGACAGCGCCAAGACACACACACACCCCAACTTTCTCTGTCCTGTTCCCTGACTGTTTGCTGTTGCTTTGGAGCCTCATAAATAGGGCATTGAAAACACTTCCTGCGACTGAAAGAAGCCCTGAGTAGCTTGTCTCATTCCCAGTATGCAGCTCAGCGAGGGGTCCGTCCTCCTCTGTCACTGTCTCTTTTGCCTGTTGTAATTCTGTCTGCCTCTGACTTGGCCTGTGTCTCTCTGTGTCTATGCTTCCTCTCGATGGCTGCTTTTACTGGAGCCTCAGTCCCTCATCTTTCCGACTTCTTGTCTCTGCGCTGGTCTTTGCTTTTCTCTCTCGGCCCCCAACACTGTGTCTTCCCTCTACTTCCAGGCTGCTGCCTCTTTCGGAATCTGCAGGCTTTCCTCTGCATTATTGGGTCTGTTGGTCTGGTCAGGAGGACCTTGGGTCCTGCGGCTCTGGGTGGCCCGCGGCCAAAGGAGGGAGGAGCCCTCGGGGGGCGGGATTGGCCCTAAAGCCACCTCATAAAGACTGGGACTGTACGAGGCTTTCTGGAGGAGTCCTGGAGGGGCTGTTTGTTACGACAGGCAGACCCCACGAGCTCAGCTGGGGCTCTGCAGTGTCATGCCCTGGAGCCCCCTGGCTGCGCTGAGCTGGGCGCTGGTGCTGCGGCTGCTGGCATTGCTGCGGCCCCCGGGGCTGGGTGAGGCGTGCACTTGCGCGCCTGCGCACCCCCAACAGCACGTCTGCCACTCAGCTCTAGGTGAGTACTTAGCCCTTGAGGACCATACCAGGGGTTGCCTGTGGGAAAACTGGTGTTGGGCAGAGCTGTAGACCTGGAATCTGAGGGAAGGGGTGGAGCTCAGATCCTGTAAGGGTGCCTCCTGCTGCAGCTGATAGGTCAGACATGGCTGTTGCTGTATTGACCTTGGAAGTACAAAGCCTGATTTGTAGGGGAATAAATAGTCTATCACAGATCTCCAGAGTAGTTCCCGTCAGCTCAGCTTGATGGGACCTAGCTGTCACTGGAGCTATCCAGCAATTTTCAGAACTCTTGAGGGGAGGGACGTTTGCAATATAATACCTGCCTCCTTGTCTGTAGATGACGTTGCCAGCTGCCACCTCAGAACACACACATTTTGTCCTTTCTCTCCCACTACCTGGACACCCTTCTTTCACACCTTTAACTTTCTGGCAAACTACTATTCGCCTTTCCTATTCCGAAGGCTTTTTGATTCCTTGCTACCCTTTGTGGTGGGTACTGCTGTTTTTTATAAGGAGTTCACCATTAGATGAAGACTTCTGCAGGATGAGAACCCTGTCACGCCCATGCCTGTGCAAGGTCAGGCAGAGAGGAGGAAGACCTTTTTAAACAAAATTTCCAGGGCTGGGGCTGCAGCTCCATGATAGAGCATTTGCCATTCATGCGTGGGGCTTCAGGTTCAGTCTTGGGGGAAGAATCCCCAAAAAGAAAAAAACAAACCAATTCTTGATTAGATGGCAAGAGATGAACTTCCTCAATGGAGAATGGGGACATTTACAAATTCGATAAACAGTTTTTACTATCACTTGCAGGTGTGTTATGAGATTCTGAGATGTATGGATAGGTGAGTCCCACACCAATTGCCTTGAAGGGACTCCTATTCACTGTTCGCTACACCCAAGGCTATGGAGAACTTGAGCTCTAGAAACCAACAGGTTAAAAGGCAGAAAGAACACAGTTTAAGGACTTAAACACCCTGAAGGGTTTGAAGCTGGCAACCACCGCGGAGTAAATCCTAAGTCCCTTCTCTCATATGCATCATGCTGCTGAGAACCTAAAGACACTTGACCCAATCCTTGGACACTCAGAGGAACCCAGGCCACCCAGATCTCAGATTGCATACTCCCACAGTGCTGAAGTTTCCCTTTTTTTTTCTGTACAGTAATCCGGGCAAAAATCTCCAGTGAGAAGGTAGTTCCTGCCAGTGAAGACCCCGCTGACACTCAAAAAATGATCCGGTATGAAATCAAACAGATAAAGGTACATGGGGCAGGACAGGGGCTGAGCCGTGATGGGCTGATGGAGGGATGGGGTTTGTGGTAAGGGAGGGAGGAACCTGGTGAGAGTCAGGCAATGGACTTGGTCTCCTTAGGAAGGTGCTGAAGTGGAACTGTATAAGCTGGTATGGGCAGGACCCACGAGAACCAAGTGACTGTTCAGGGAGGGGACTGGCTGTCTGTCTTGTCCATGGGACCTCCCCATCTCCCTGGAATAAATCAAGGTTTAGACTTACTTAAACATAAATAAATAAACAGATAAAAACCAGCAAGGTCATCTGTGCTCCGAACCTGAATTAGACTTTTGCTTAACGTTTGGAAATAAATGAGCACCGTTCAGCCTGCTGCCCTGCCCTGACCCGGTGTTGCGCTTCCGTAACTGCCTTCCAGATGTTCAAAGGGTTCGACAAGGCCAAGGATGTTCAGTATGTCTACACACCATTCGACTCTTCCCTCTGTGGTGTGAAACTAGAAACCAACAGCCAGAAGCAGTATCTTCTGACTGGTAAGTTAAGGGGCTAAACAGAGTTGTGAGAGTGACCATGGCCGTGTAGTTGGGAGGAGCAAGGAAATGCCCTTCCAGTGCAGGAGTCCCTGCTACAGCGATCTTGGCTACTGTGTCACAATTTTAAGGACAGTCTGCTCTACCCATCTACGACAGCTAGTTCCATTTTGAAATTTTTAACTGGTATAAGATTTTTGGCATCTTGAGCCCAAATATGTCTCCTGAAGGTGTTTGCTGTGTGTTTATCTCTGCCCTGTGCGCAAGCTTGACTCTACAGTTCCACCTCCATGAACCCTGGGTTGGGCCAGCCTCCTCCATACTGAACTGGTTGGGACAGAACAGTAAATGAGCCATCCATCCAATACACCTAAGAATATTTTGGGGAGATAAATAAATACAGTGCTAAAGTGTTCTGGAATTCGGGGAAAGAGGCACTGGTGTGGTTGTGAACAGGCAGGGAATTTCCACTGTTGGAGTAGGCTCTAAGCTGGCCCACAAGATGGAAAACATCTGTAAAGAAATCTAGGAAAATAAAAGCTCCAGCCCACAGGGAGAACAGGGAGGAGTCCCACTCTATCCATGGAGCCAGCAGATCATCATCTACTACATACTGTCAGGCCTTGGGCCGGAAAGTGGAGATTCAGGAATACATCATAGTCCTCTAAGGCTTCCTAGTCCAGACATGGCTCTTGAAGAGTGACAGGAACTGGAGGACACAATGAAAGGGGCTTCTCAGCTCTGAGGAGGTGGGATTGTGCTGCCCTGGGCAGCTGAGACAGGACATGCCACTCTACCTTCCAGGTCCCTCATAAGCAGACCAGTCTCTTTACATCTCCTGATAGCCCACCCCTTTCCTGAGCACCCACTCTGTGTGTCTCACCCTCGCTGAGGCACTGAGGTGTGTCAGGGAAAAGGGAACATGGGGTTTTTGTCCTTGAGGAGGTCAAGAATAACCAAGGGTGGAGAAAACATAACTCTACAAAAAGGTATCAGTGATGCCATGCCTTCAGGAGAAGTCAATGGTCTTCATTGATAGGTAAAAGTTCTCTGTGGCTAGAACACTGTGACCATTGTAGCTTTTTCTGTGTCACTTGTCAATGACATAGCAACCTGCATCTTTCTCCCTGAGAGCTGAAATGAACTCCCTGTAGTTGCAGGATGCATGGCTGTCCTCCTGCCTAGTGTCCAGAGACCCTTGTACTTGTTGACAGTGAATTCCCAGCCATCCCTTGGAGACACAACATGAGCTTCAGCTCCTCTGGGGTAGCTTCCTTTATCCACCCTCTTCTACACTTGGAGATAAGCATGCATTCCTCTGTTCTTACATCTGGGCAATTACAGTCCAGTAAACTATGCCTACTTTCTGTCTACCCTCCTAAAGGGTAGAGATCCTGCCATATGATTTCTGCATCTGGAACTAGGTTATAGCAGCTGCCTACTGAATAAATGGTTGAGTGTCGAAGTCCTAGGAGAGGTGAGGGTTCACATTGTCAGGGATGGCTTTGGTGAAAAGATGTATTGAAAGGAGCTATGGGGCTAGAAAGATGGCTCAGTGGTTAAGAGCACTGGCTGCTCTTTTAGCCAACCCAGTTCAATTTCCAGCACCCACATGGGGGCTCACATCTGGGTTCTTAAAGAAAAAGGCCTATGAAAGATCAGAAGGAACTTGATAAATAAATTTTAAAAAAGACACTTTCCTATGGGGAAATGTTCACCCAGACAGATACCCAATTGGGCAGGAGTGGCCAGTGTGGATATTGGGAAGGAGTGGACATCTTCTGTGGGCCAACAGCTGAACCAAGAATTCCATATGCATTCCCTCATGTAGTCTCAGCAACAGCTTTATTATTCTCATCCTCCACCTGAAAGGCCCTGTGACCTTCTTTATGGTTACAGCAGCTAGTATATAAAGGGAGTATATAAGAGAAAAGAGCCTACCCACAGTCTGGCCTTTTTCTGCCTCCCTGTGCCAGGGATCTAGCTCAGGCCCTCACACAAGATAAGCACGTGCTCTGTTCCTGAGCTTCATTCCCAACCCTGCACTCAGCCATTCTGTTGTCTGGTTTTCACTTGTACCTTTTGTTTGTTTGTCTGTTTCTCTAAGGAAGGGTCTTGTTATGCAGCACAGGCTGACCTCAAGCTTTTGGTCCTCCTGCCTCAGTCTCCTGAGGGCTAAGGTTACAGGCATGTGTCACCAGATCTGACAAGCTCCAGGCTGATTTTAAATCCCACCTTCTTTCTGCTTCATGCTAAAGGAACAGACCTTCACCAGATCCCATAATTCTGCCTTGCACAGACACCGTGAACTAGTCTCTGCTTTAAAGATTATTGGGATTTGTCTGGTTCCTACACTGAGTCTGAGTGTTCACTGATGTCATAGAGCCATTTGAGACTGGAGTTTTCTCTGTGTTGTATAGAGTGTGTTTAGCATAAAGAAGGCATAATTTCAGCACAGGAAGGAAGGAAGGAAGGGAGGGAGGGAGGGAGGGAGGGAGGGAGGGAGGGAGGGAGGGAGGGAGGGAGGAAGGAAGGAAAGAAAGGTAGGCCATTACAAAAGTTACACTACTGGAGTGTTTAATGATGGGGACCCCTGGAGGCCTGTCAGTCTTCTGACTAGATTCCTTTCTTTCTCTCCACAAAGGCCAGATTCTCAGTGATGGAAAAGTCTTCATCCATCTGTGCAACTACATTGAGCCCTGGGAGGACCTGTCCTTGGTACAGAGGGAGAGTCTGAATCATCACTACCCCCAGAACTGTGGCTGCCAAGTAAGGGAATGTCCATTTCCAAGGTCATTTGTGGGTGAGGGACAAGCTTAGAGCCTTGGGGTCTCATCCTCCATGGATTCCACCATATACATGAACTCACTTCCTACTCTCAAGTTGTGCCGTGGAAGTTGGGGGTGGGAAGGTGGAGACTGCACCTTCTTTTTGATCTCAAAGTACTTACACTTTGGGTGGGACACCGTGCCCACACAGGGCAGACTGAAATGACACTAAATCACCATTTAAAGAAAGTCTAAGCCAGGTGCGGTACCTTAGCAGTACTGTATAGTACATGAGAGGCTGAGGCAGGAAGGAGGATTCCAAGTCTGAGGCCAGCTTGGGCAACATAGTGAGACACTGTCTGTTTCAAACATGAGAAAAGGGAGCGTGGACAGACAGACAGAGTACTCTTTTCCAGGCCTGTAATAATTAATTTATTTTCAAATTTTAATTTAATCTACAACAAATTTGTGAAGAATCAAGGTTTCAATTTGAAGGTAAAGAAATCAAAGCTCTGAAGACTATTTACAGTCATGGCAGTATGGGACCCATCAAGGCTGAGTCTAGTGACACCAGGAAGATACTACTGTTCTCAAGGAGATAGATGGGGGAGGAGGGCTCAGGAGGAATCTTGGAACTGGGAAAAGACAAGGCAGTTGAGATGGCAGTGAGGATACACAGGATGTGAAAGGCAGCACAGAGAAAGGATACTCTATTCACTTTGATATTGTGTGGTCACAACTAGATCATCACTTGCTATGCGGTGCCCTGTACCATCTCAGCCCCCAATGAGTGTCTCTGGACAGACTGGCTGCTGGAACGGAAGCTCTATGGGTACCAGGCCCAGCACTATGTCTGCATGAAGCACGTTGATGGCATCTGTAGCTGGTACCGGGGCCACCTACACCTCCGGAAGGAGTACGTTGACATCATCCAGCCGTAGTAGGGACCAGTGGCCACTACATCCTTGGAAAGAGTCCTGAAGACCAAGCCAGTTCTCTGTGGTACTCTGACCATCACCACCTGTCATGTTGCTGCCAGATGATAGGAAGTGACATGTGGGTGGTCTGGCCAGCATCATGGCAGCTGTGGAGCATGTGACAGCTTATGTCCACATCTCCAGCTCACAACTTGTCAAGGCTGGGGAAGGGAGTATGACTTAGCTGCCTTGCCCTCAGCCCCTCTCCATTGTCTCCCAAACCTTGTTAGTCTAGTTTATACCTGTTACTGGAAGTTCTCATTCTGGCTTTGTTCTCTCCAGTCAGGAGAATGCACGTTCCTTTTCTTAGCTCCTATGGTAGGGGAGGAGCTGTAAGTGTCATAAGATGGTACAACCTTGTGATGTATGCTGTGGAAGGGGGTGACTGCACCCTGAGTGGGCTGCTTGGCTGAAATGAAAAGAATACACTAAAGCTCCATATCCTCTACTCCTACTGTCTCAACTCAGCCTAAGCCTCTGACACATTTTTGTCTGCTTAAAGGACACAGTGAGAGCTGAACGGCCCGCGCTTCTCGGTGCCCTGTAAGTCCCCTGATACTATTGTTGGCAGAAGGTCTGGCCCAGATAGCATTCGTCTCCGGACAAGAAAAGCCTGAGTATACCAGAACAAGCATTCTCCCTCCAGGTTAAATATCTCTGCTGCCTTCAGTTGGTGTCCAGGGACTTTGCCTCAGCTTCCTTTAGGTTGCTAATGTCTTTGTTCCTACCTTAGAACTTGGTTCTGAAGCAAAAACAAAGAGGTGAAAAACAACAAAAGTGGCCCCAGAGCACGGTCTTCTCCTAAGGCCAAATGTCAGGAGAGGGTGGGAAGGGACAATGACAGAACCCCCTGGGGAACATGCAGTGGGGACACAGCTTGCACTTGCTTCAGTTTCTTCAGCAGCTACCCCTGCTAGATGCTACAGCAGGAGACAGCTAGCTGTGACTCTGAGAGCATTTCCACCCTTCAGCTAAGTCCCCTTACCTCTGTGTCTTGGACTGTAGCTACCAGCCCCTGAAGGCTCCTCAGCCTCTGTAAGTCTTCCTGGGTTGTCTACATGGGGAAACACTGACAATGGCCTCTATGATTTGTTAACTCATAGAGCTCAACATCCCAGAACCTTTTCCTGGGGAAAGCTCTGGAAAAGATGGTAGGGGTCATCAGTTCTTTTGACCACTCAGGACTGTCTTTCATTTTGATGTATGGTCAGCTGGTGAGCAGGGCCATGTGTGCTGTGCTGGAAGACGGCTCTGGATTTAAATGCAATGATGGAGATCCCTTTGGGAGGAGAGAGTAGGAAAGGACCAAACTTGATCCCTGTCCCAGAACACAGCACTTGGAAGGCTCTGGCAGCGAGTCTCCAAGCGGGATCCTCCAGCAATAGTGCACACCATCCTTGGGGAGGGAAGGAGGATGGAAAGTAACCTCCAGGTTTCTCCGTAGGACATATCCTCACAGCTTCCAACCAACCATTTCTCTTTTCCTTCTGACCTCCGGGGGTAGACTCAGAAAAGGCACAGGATTAACTCTGCTTTGTCACAATTTGGAGGTGGCGAAGGAAATGGAAGTCTAGTGAGGAATCACAGAAGCAACAGGTTCCATCTCGGGAGGCTCATCTCCACCAGAAGGCGATTACTTGAGGAACCTCCTTGAAATCGGATGCACGCTGTGTTAGATACCCTGGTCAAGGGCAGCTATGCTCACTTGTCGTAGTTGAGAAAAGACACACGCTGAGGGACTGTAACACCCCCAGAGACGCACGGCAAAGCTGCGGCTATAGAAAAGCTGTGACCCCTCCTGACTGTTGACTCACAGGTTTGCTACTCTCTCACGTTAAAACGCTCCGTTTCTGCTTTTCTCTACTCTGTCCCCAGAAACGGAAAACAAAAGACTGTTGGCTAGAATCTAGCTACTTCTGCTGCTCTGAGCAGCTCTGCAGCTACCTGAGGAGTTGGGTCTGAGGTGCTGAGGTGCCTGCCAGCCCTCCAGAGTCCCCCTGTGGCTAGGAGTAGGAAGAGTGCAGAGTCAAGGCCCCACTTGGCCACCTACCATCTCGCGGTGGTTGGGATAGTATGTCTGCTCAATGAGTGGGAATTTCTCCCCTCCCAGTGTCTTGAAGATGGCCACCATCTGGGCAAACTGCAAAAGACAAGAAAGAATTTCACTGTATCTTCAACTTCTGGACCAGACACAACATCAATTCGTCAAATATAGAGCATTTTCACTGTAGAAGATATTGTGTTAAATCAACTGGCAGTACTGAGAAAGGAAAGGTACATGTTATTTCAAAGACATATGCTTTAGTAGAGGAAGACAAAGAGAAAGCTAGTATTCATTGGGGGCCTACTTAATTTCAATGGTTTCCACCCAATCTTTTCAAATTGACAAGGCTGAGAAGGGGTTCGGAACTTCACTTGTATCACAGAAATGGGGCTGGGGAGTGGTGCACATCTATAATCTCAGTACTCAGCGGAGGCAGGAGGATGATGAGTCTGAGGCCAGCCTGGGCTACAGAGTGAGCTCCAGGCCATTGTGTTGGGCTAAATGGTAAAATACTGTCTCAAGAAAAATCAAATGAGTAACAGAACCGAAAAGGGGTGAAGCTGGAACTGAAACCTGAAGTCTCACTCCAAATGTATGCTCTTCTTAGCAGCGGAGCAAGGCAGAGCTGAAGAGGTAACATGCCAAGGCTCAGAAGTTCTGACGCCAGGCAAAGAAATAAATGACACCCCTCCTGTGTGCTCTACAGAGCCGCCAGAGTCTGCACAGGGGTGACATAAATGAAGCTGTTCTTCAGGAAGACTGGAGGGTCACAGTGGTGAAACCCACAGGTCCATCTTCCCGGCACTGGCTGCTGGGATTATAAGATCTGAACTCGCTAGACCCTCTATCTGTGGCAAAAGGAGAAAAGGCAAGGTTCAGATATTCACAGTGTTGGGGCTGGGGGGCTTCTGCACATCCGGCTCTCCTTGACCTTTCAAAAACAAAGAGACTAAGAACAGAGAGGTCAGGTGCCTGAGGTCACATGCGTGAGCAAGGTTCACGGCTAGATCCTTCATTCCCAGTCTCTATTTCTCCTGAATCTTTTGAATACCTACTTTTCAGATTCTACAGAGACCACACAATTCCCACAGGAAACATAGATCTTTCCCACCTAGTCCACATTTAACCCACAACGCCAACCCCAGTGCATGGCCAGCTAGCTAGCTTCTTTTCTCCAGTAGGATCCTTTCAGGCTCCAAATCGCCAATAGCTTGGTCAGCTTCAAGGGAAAGTTGTTGGATCAAACCTGCCCTCTACTTGTCAGAGACGGGAAAGCTAGGACCTTTTCCCAAAGTTTAGGTCCCATTCTCTGTAAAGGATGTTAGTGCATGAGCTATTCAGGAAGGGTTATTAGCAGAGTGGAGTCTCCTGGTGTTCTCCTTTTAACTCACTAGTTGCCTTTGGACAAAAGGCCCCTCCCTGCCAGGCTCCCTCTTCAGATGTGAGCAAAGAAGGGTCGTTTCCTTCAGCTTTTCACACCGGGCATCAGGGCATCAGGAAGAACATCTTTGATTGCGTTTCCCCTACACTCCTCCATCAGACTGTGGTCCTTTTGTAGGGAAGATTTTTATTAAAATGCAGGGAAATGTGGGCCTTTCTGGGCCCCAGCCTTCAGTGTGTGGGACTGGTAACTTCCGAGGTCTAAGACTTCCTTTAGGACTCAGTCTCTAACACTTTACTGTTGAAAGAGACTTCAGACAGTCTCCACACCAGGTCTGAGGAGACTGAGGCTAGAGAAGCCTTGGAGCATGGCAGGTATTGAGGCTCCACTGGGAGAGCGCCCAGGTTTCTTCATTCCTTGCCCACTGCATCCTCTGCTGACTTCTCATCCCTGACTGACCCTCTGCCCTTCCCTTCCTTCCTTATCCAATTCTTCCTACTACCTCACCTGACCTTCAGCTCTACCTGCCCACCTGGACCTGGCTGGATTCCTTTTCTGCCTGGGCTTCTAAGACTCTCCAGCATCCCTAGGGAGCTGAT